CTGCTGACTGGACTCGGGTAGTGGTTGAAGTTGTTAAGCCTGTAACTCTCTCATCTGTTGCATGGTCAACTCTATCTCAGTGTTCATTTCAGCCCTGAATTCCTCTCGTTGTTTAGCCAGTGCTTCTTGAAGCATTTGGGCCACTAGGTCAGGAGTGATCATGAACGATTCCCTTGCTTCCCCCATGTTGGACATTATGTCGTTAGAGGCAATTGCGGAGCAAGTATCTGACAGTTCATCTTCTAAAGATAATTCTTCATGCATTCTTGGGTAACCCCTATGTCTGATGGCTCCTAGCTGGAGCCGAGACGTTCGTTGGGCTATCCCTGAATTGACTTTTCTTCCGGGAGAAAAATCGGGATTAGAACAGTTTGAAGTAATGAGAGACTTTCCTTTGTTAACCATATTAATGGTGACTTCAGGGAATTTATCATCCTGAACAGTGGATTTTCTCTCGTGGAAACGTCTTGGCTTAGGCTTCAATGCCTCAGTAGAAAGCTTCTCGAATATCGATACCCTTTGTGAAATGGTCCTGGAACAACTACATTTCGATAATACCACCCTGATAAGCTTCTCACATAGACAGTGAGAGTTAGGTTCTCGAATATCATCCTTTTGGGATTTATTCATACCTCCAGCCTGATAGTGCAGCTCATTGGAGCAATCCATCGTTTGTTGGTGTGATACCCTAAGTATAACGTTGTTTTTTGACGGACACGTCTTCTTTTGGGAAAGAAGAACCTTGTTGACATTCTCAGGAAAATTTATTGTCACCTTTGAATGATCCAAGGTCACATCAGGAGTCACACGTTTAGAACCATCCCCTTGCGAGCGTGAGGTGTTAACGGGCTCCTGGGTTTCAACACGAATCCTCGGGCGATCGATGCCAAGAGTCGTCTTGTACATGGCGCATGAACATGTACAATGAGGTACCCTGGTTTGTTTAGAGGTGGCGGGACACCTTAGAGTGGCCTTTGGCTTGACGAGAGTGTTTGTACGACCCCCAGCCTGAGGAATTACTCGGGATTTATTCACCGGAACTTTGCCTCGATTTTTGTGTAAAGGACCCATGTGTTCTTTCATCGGAATCTTAAATTTGGATAGATCTACATTGCCGTAGGGCTTTGTCGGAGGTGCGAGAGCAAGACGAGTGGGCTCGAAGGCTGACAGAGTTAATTTCGGCGCTATTTCGACCTTTGGTACCCAGACTTGTTTGGATTTCGGTGGTTTTTTGGCCACCTCTTCCTTCTGCATGCCTTGAGCTTTTCGTATAAAGGAACGCCCATGTATGGTACATGCACGTCGCTTTTGGATGCGTTCCTTTAAGGTTGAACGAGTCCTTTTGATAAGAACCTATTCTCCCGTCGATGGTTTGGAGGAAGTAGCAGCAGCTTGCCGTTGAGGCGGCTGGATTAAATAATACTTTCTAGACTCCAAGTCTGCGTAGTAGCGAACTCCATCGACTTATTCTAATGCCTTAGCAATTTGACGAGCTTGGCATTGGCGTCGCCTCTAACGAGCCCTCTTCATCAGAGTTAGCGTACCTTGATTGAACAACTCCTTGACTGGAAAGGAGTTGTGGCGAGCGGAGTCATTTGAAGCCTTCATCGGTGAATACGCCTCCTTCAAAGATGGGATCTTTCTGCACTTGCAGGGAGAGGAGGATTTTGATGAAGACGAGGAGAAATATTCCTCAAACTTAGCTTTGTCGAACTCGTACTCGACTTCTGAATCAACAGGGATCTTGATCTTTGGTTGTGACACAACAACCTAGGTGATGAGGTTGTTGCCTCCCACTGTGGTCGCCAGCGTGTTTGGGTCAAAAGTTGATTTCTTCATTGCCTTGAATCTATTACAATCGTTTATCGATTACAAGTTCACAAATAGAAAAGTTTATCTTTTTATAAGATCTCCTTACACAATGAAAAATAAAAGATTACAACATTATCAAACACACACAGATCCTATTTATTAGTCTCTGTTTGTGTGAGATCTTTGCCTGTGCCGGGGTTTATCCATGGATCGCCTCGGATCAAATCCGGTTGACAAAAAATTAATTAAAGCTCTTACTTCACAAATGAAGTAATCGCTGCAGCGTTGATCCCGACCAAGCGAGATCACGTGTCACGAACCGCCCCATTTTTGGCTCAATTGGGTGCATTTGGACTCACTTATTCATGGTTGGGTCCATGAAGATCCTAGGGTTTTCTAGAGTTTTCTTGGATAATAAAGGTATGATAAATATCTTGTATCTAGAAGCTTCTAGGAAGTCTTATTAAAATATCTAAGGACCCTTGTAAAAGCTTCTAGAAAGTCCAATGTAAATATCTAGGGAGATATTTTAGGAGAAGAGTCTAGAGACTCAATCTTAACCATTGATTCTAAGAACAATGTAGAAGGCTAATCATAGCCATCCATTGTAAGCTAGTCTTGCCTATAAATAGGGGCTAAGGCATTTCATTTGAATCAAGCAAGAGGTGCTGAGCAATAAAGCAATAAGAGCTTCCACTTCCACTCTTGAGTGTTCTCTTCCCTTCTCTTGAGTGAGTGTTGCCATTCTAGTGAGGAAAAGAGTGACTAAGTGCCGCACGGGTTTGAGTGAGGTTTGTGGTGAAAGAATCATCCCGTGACATTTGGTATCAGAGCCAAGGTTCAGAAGTGATAATGTCGAGCTCCGACCTTCGTTTCGAAGTACTTGGTGTGGTGGATCCGAAGGATGTTCCAAGGCAACGTAGGGATAAATCTCGTGACATCATGATGATGTTGGCGGCACGGTTGGCTAAGGTGGAGCTTACCGTGGCGGATAAGATGGAGGCTTTCGGCGAGCACATCGAGAAGTTGGAGTCTACAGGAGACGAACTTCGGGAGGAGATGCAGTCAGCCTTGAATTCCATTGTCGACATGCTACAGTAAGGGATCACATCCGTACGTGAGGAGTGTACATTCCTACGGAGCCAAGGAGAAATGTTCCTGAAGGAGATGGCCGAATTTAAGGCAGATCTATCTCGAAGACATTGCTACGTTGTGGTGGCGTTGACGATGCGAGGATATGAAAAAGGGTACGTGCTCCATTACTACTTGGGAAGAATTCAAGGCAGATCTAAAGCGGCAATTCTATCCGGAGAATGCTGAGGATGAGGCCCGAGGTAAACTCCGTCGCCTTACTCAAAAAGGTTCAATTCGTGATTACGTGAAAGAATTTTCAAAGTTGCTATTGGAGATCCCTGACATGGGCGAGAAGGACTCTCTATTCTCATTCATTGATGGCCTCGTGGGATGGGCCAAGATGGAGTTACAAAGGCGTGGCGTTCAGACTCTAGCCCAAGCAATGCAAGTAGCCGAGTCACTGATCGAGTTCAAGAAGGTGAACAACTCATCCAAGCCAAAGGATAAAAAGGGTACGCTTACTAAAGGTGGGGGAGAGAAGGATAAACCATCCAAAGAGTTCCCACCTAAATCAACGTCCGAGAAGGGTAAATCCTATTACAACTCTAAAGAGGGTGACCGTTCAAAGAAGTTGGCATGCTACTTCTGCAGCGGTCCACATAAGGCTATGGACTGTCCCAAGAGGGCCAATCTTGTGGCCCTAGTTCAGAAGGAAGAGGAGAAGAAAAATGAGGAGACCCGAATCAACTCACTTTGTCTCTTCAATTTAATCAAGGCAAAAGTGAATGCAAGACCTCGGGGGGTGATGTTCATTGAGACAACCATTTCCGGTAAAACCTTCAAGGCCCTTCTAGATACTAGTGCTTCTCATCTCTTGGTTTCTCGCGATGTTGCTAGTATGTTGAATCTTAAGATCACCAAGGGAGGGGGTGTCATCAAAGCTGTCAATTCAAGTCCCACTCCCATCACTGGCGTGGCTCAGAAGGTAGATGTAAGCATTGGAGAATAGTGCGGCCAAGAAGACTTGACGGTTGTGACCATGGATGACTTTGACGTAGTACTTGGCTTGGAATTTTTGGACAAGGTAAAGGCCATGTTGGTTCCATACACCAACACAATGTACATCCTAGAGGGCAGGGCATGCACAGTTCCGATCAAGCACGAGAGTTTGACTTCTAAAATGCTCTCGGCATTACAAGTGTCCAAGGGCGTCCGTCGACATGAGCCAACTTTTATTACTACAGTCAAGGTGGAGGAAGACTCACACCAGGGTGAAGACATGCCCGAGAATATCCGAAGTGTCTTGGAGGACTACCACGACATCATGCCCATAAAGCTACCAAGTAAGCTCCCACCTAAGAGAGAGGTGGATCACAAGATCGAGCTTGAGTCAGGAGCTCATCCCCCAGCCATGGGACCTTATCGCATGGCACCACCGGAGTTGGAGGAACTTCAAAAACAACTGAAGGACTTGTTGGATGCCGGATACATTTGTCCGTCTAAGGCTCCATATGGTGCCCATGTATTATTCCAGAAGAAGCACGATGAGTCATTGCAGCTATGCATCGACTACCGGGCTTTAAACAAGATCAAAGTGAAGAACAAGTATCCCATTCCTCTGATTATGGACTTATTCGACAGATTGGGTCTGGCAAGGTACTTCACTAAGCTTTACTTGCGCTCGGGATACTATCAAGTACGGATTGCTGAAGGAGATGAACCAAAGATGACATGCGTTAAGCCGGAAGATGAAACTTGCTGCTATGATAAGTCATCCTCAGAGCACCTTACTTGATCGTATTATGGAAGGTTTGTCTCATGATCCTACAGCCAAGAACATGGTGGACTACGCAAAAGAAGGCAAAATTCGAAGGTTCTGGCTAGAAGGAGACCTACTTTATACCAAAGGGAGACGGGTGTACGTGCCATTGTTCGGGAATCTAAGGTGGGAGATCATTAAAGAATGTCATGACTCTCAATGGGCGGGACATCCAGGTGTGCACAGAACTCTAGCTCTTGTAGAAGAGACGTATTATTAGCCTCGCATAAGGGATGATGTTGAGGCCTACGTGAAGACTTGTCTTGTGTGCCAACAAGACAAGACAGAGCAGAGAATGTCGGCTGGACTGTTAGAACCATTACCTATTCTAGAGAGACCTTGGGAAAGCATTTCCATGGACTTCATCATGGGTCTACCCAAGTCAGATGGATGCAGCATTCTTATGGTGGTGGTTGACCGGTTCTCTAAATACGGCATTTTCACTCCATCCCCAGCCAAGTGTCCAGCCGAGGTAGCGGCACCACTATTTCTGAAGCACGTGGTGAAGTATTAGGGGCTACCAAAGTCCATCGTAAGTGATCGGGATGGTCGCTTCACAGGAAGTTCTGGACGGAACTCTTCAAACTCATAGGGTCAGATCTAAACTTCTCCACTAGCTTCCACCCTCAGGTAGATGGCCAGACGGAGTAGGTAAACGCCTTGTTGGCGGTATACTTGAGACACTATGTGAGTGCCAACCAGCAAGATTGGGTGAAGCTACTGGACATAGCCCAATTCTCCTACAATTTGCAAAGGAGTGAGTCTACCGGGAGGAGCCCATTCGAGATCATCACAGGTCAGCAACCACTCACTCCAAATGCTATTGCTACAGGTTATAAGGGAAATAGCCCAGCCGCTTCAGCAACCACTCACTCCAAATGCTATTGCTACAGGTTATAAGGGAAATAGCCCAGCCGCTTACCGATTTTCTAAGGGGTGGCAAGATCAGAACGAATTAGCACGCTCGTGCTTGAACAAGGCGGCAAAGAAGATGAAGAAATGGGCCGACAAGAAGCGAAGGCATATGGAGTATCAAGTTGGAGACTTGGTCCTTGTCAAGCTTTCTACATTAGATCGACATAAAGGGCAACACAAGAGCTTGATACGCAAGTATGAGGGAAAATTTCCAATCGATAAGAGAGTGGGGAACGTGGCTTACAGGGTAAAGCTTCCCCCAACTGTGAAGTATCATCCAGTCTTCCATGTGAGCATGTTAAAACCATATCATCAAGATACGGAAGATCCAGATAGAGGAAATTCTAGTCGAGCGCCAATAGGGATTAGTATGGAGTTCGACAAGGAGGCCGAAGAAATTCTTACGGATAGGACGGTTCGTGAAGCCAACAACCACCCGAGGTTAGAGTACTTTGTGAAGTGGAAAGGCTTACCCGATAGTGAGAACAGTTGGGAACCTGCGCGATCCTTGTGGCAGTTTGAAGACTTGATCGAGAAGTTTCGCCAGGAGAAGACTAAGCGATGAGGGCATCGCTTGGATAGGTAGGGGAGAACATCACGAACCGCATCATTTTTGGCTCAATTGGGTGCATTTGGACTCACTTATTCATGGTTGGGTCCATGAAGATCCTAGGGTTTTCTAGAGTTTTCTTGGATAATAAAGGTATGATAAATATCTTGTATCTAGAAGCTTCTAGGAAGTCTCATTAAAATATCTAAGGACCCTTGTAAAAGCTTCTAGAAAGTCCCATGTAAATATCTAGGGAGATATTTTAGGAGAAGAGTCTAGAGACTCAATCTTAACCATTGATTGTAAGAACAATCTAGAAGGCTAACAAGCAAGAGTTGCTAAGCAATAAAGCAATAAGAGCTTCCACTTCCACTCTTGAGTGTTCTCTTCCCTTCTCTTGAATGAGTGTTTGAGGGATTAGGCTGACTTAGCCATTCTAGTGAGGAAAAGAGTGACTAAGTGCCGCACGGGTTTGAGTGAGGTTTGTGGTGAAAGAATCAGCCCGTGACACACAGCTCATCTCGAGATTTATGACTAAGCTTAAATCCGGAGGAAGGGGGGAACGGGCCTCAGATCCTTTGAAACGATCCTTCTTTATAACGGAATTCGCCAAAATCTGCTAGCCTCTCTCAAATTCGTCAGAACCTCGCCCTAGCTCCTCTGAAATTTGTGGCTCCCTTCAGATGTCCAATCCTGTAGGGCTTCACCGAGGCTCGAGAATTCTAGACCTTCACCTTAGCTCCTCTGAAATTCGTGGCTCCCTTCGGATCAGATTTTATAAGGGTGCTAGGGGTGTATTTATAGGCTTTAGATGTCGTGTTTGTGGATAGGATCAAAGAACAACCATTATTATCCGTTTAGGTGAATTTTCAGTTGTGTAACAACTTCCACATGTTTAAAGATAAACCCATGTGTTTATGGATGATCCCAAGGAGTTCTAGAAGCCAATCTTATCAGAAAACACATCGGGAGCTGACATGGGCGCGAGTCACTTCGACTGTCTCGCACATGTCCGAGATAACTTGGATTGTCTCAGGTATTTTAGTCTTAACTCTTTAATTTGACCTCCGATTGAGGTGATTCAAGATGTTTTGGAAAGATAACAAAGATACCTACAACTTTTATGTTTTAAGATTCTTCATATTATAAACAAATCATAGCCAAAATCTCTATTTTCTCTGAGACATAGATTGTGTCTCGCTGGTGTAAAATGGCCTGAATGGTCTTGGGTATTTTGGCTCTAACTCCCTCGTCTGACCTCAGAATGAGGTAATCTAAGATGTGTTAGAAATCTGACAAAGAGACCTACAACTTTTTTGTTTTAAACTTTTTTAGATTCATAACATAGCATGGTCTAAATGCCTCTTCTTTTTGCAGGCCACTTTGAGGTGTTCGACACTTTCTGACTTCTCCGAACTTGTATTGCGCATTTCATCATTCCGTTGACTTCTACACTCCATTGACTCACTTTGTATATTCGTTATCTTTCACGGGGCTAGATAATTCTTTCTTGACTTGGATGATGACGCCTATCGTCTATATTTCACTTCGAGTGCGTACGGGAACTCATAGGCAAATTTTGACGCCTACATTGTCTACCATGTTGATAGTAACTCGCAAGAGCTCGTTATTTGTGCTGGTTAACCTTCTTCTATGGAAACGCCTCGGCTTAGTCTCGGATGTTCCGATGAAGATTCTTTCAAACACTGAAACCCTTTGTGGGGCCTTATGGCAGGAACATTCTGACAACACTACCTTGATTATCTTGGCACACGGACAGTGCGAGTCCACGTCTCGAGTATTTCTTTTTTGGGATTTATTCGCAACCCCAGCCCAATAGTACAACTTGTCGGCCAGATGACCGGAGCAACCCATCGTGTGTTAGCACGACTTCCTAGGTATAACGTCGTCATTGAACGAACTTGTTTCCCTCTGGGGACATGACACTTAATTGGCGTCTCCAAGAGTCACACGTTCAGACTTACGCCTTCATGAGCGTGAAACTCTAACGGGATCTTGAACTTCGACTCGCAATCCGATGTGGTCAGCCATAGGGGCTTTCCCTTTGTTGTTATTAGGGGGATTAGTACGACCCCCAGCTTAAATTGTTGTTTGGGAACCTTTCAACGACCCCAATGGCTCATTCACAGGTTCTTTACCTCGCTCTTCGGGGAGAGGACCAATGCGGTCTTTCAGAGAAACTCTAAATTTGGTGAGATCCATGCTACCGTGTGGCTCCGTCGGAAGTACGGGGACAGGGGAAACGAGATCTGAAGTTGACGAAGACCGAATGGTAACTTCGTCCACTTTTACCTTTTGCCTTCGGCACCCACACCCGTTTGTGCTTGGGTGACTTTTTAACCACCTCTTCCTTCTGCATTTCTTTTGCTTTTTGGAAAAGGACTCGAGCATGAGCGAGTAATACGCGATGCTTCTAGATTCGCTCCTCAAGGGTAGAGCGGGTCCTTTTGATGTGGACCCATTCATTCTTCTCTGCTTTGGAGGAGGGGTTGTTTACTCGCCGTTGTTGTTATCGGTGCTGCCTAGATTTCAGATCCACATCATAGCGGATCCCGTCCATTGGCTCTAAAGCCTTGGCAAGTTGATGCACAAGGCGTTGGCGTTGTTTTGGCATGCTCTCTTCGACAAAGTTAGCACGTCTTCACGACCTAAGATTTTGCTGGAGGGGAGGTCCAGATCTACTGCTTGGACCTCGTTGGATGCTGGAGGGGCGTCGTGAGGTGTAAGTACGGTGGCGACGAGAGTGTTCGCGGTGAAAATTGTGTCTTTCATTGAAGTCATTGTCATCTTGAATAACAACTTTTTGAGTTACAAAAGATCCGGTCTTTTTTAGATCCGGTTACAACGAAATAAAAGAAAAAAAATAAAAATTACAACTTTCTCCTTTTGAACAAATCGCGAGCTCCTGTTTTGCGGTCACTCGCTTTTGTGGGTTCTTTGCCAACGCCGGGGTTAATCCGTGGACCATCGCGCGATCTAGATCCGGTCGGATCTACACGATTTGACGGGTATTATTCTACGAAGGGAATAATAGCCGGGAGGGATTAATTCACTAAGGAAATAATCGCTCGGATCTCAGGATCTAAGACCAAGCTTAGATCCGGAGTGTGATCTCGTGTAGATCTCAGATCTGTTCTTACCCTCTCTCGAACTCCTGCCTTTTGTGACGTGGATGCTCGCCGAGGATCAGATCTGGATGTCCAAGTCTTCAAGTCTTCAAAACTCTAAGCTCGATCTTCAATCCGGCAGAGTTTCGGCTCTCAAAAGTCCAACCTTCGAAAATGAACAAAAGGGGGCCTATTTATAGGCTACCCTCACTGTGCCTTGGGCACAGTGCAGCCGGCCACCTTGAGGTGGCTCGGCTCTGGGCCGGCCACCTCAAGGTGGCTCGGCCACCGAGCCACCTCAGGGTGGCTCGGCTTTGGCCGAGCCACCTTGAGGCGGCTCGGTTTTGGCCGAGCCCCTCTGGGTTTGCTGTTTTCCGTCATTTTGCGCTGTATCCGTTTCTCGGTTCTGTCCGTGATTCGGTTGACTTAGATTCTGATTTTGTTGATCTGATTTGACAGTAAATCTACTTCTGATTTGGCAGTAAGCCGAGCCACCTAGAGGTGGCTCGGTTTCGGCCGAGCCCTCTGGGTTTGCTGTTTTCCTTCGTTTTGTGCTGTATCCGTTTCTCGGTTCTGTCCGTGATTCGGTTGACTTAGATTCTGATTTTGTTGATCTGATTTGGCAGTAAATCTGCTTCTGAGTTCGAGTCCGAAACTGATCTTGATTCGATCGTGATTCGTCCGAGTTTGTCTTTGGTTGGATCACTCGTTGACTCTTCAACACTTGGCTTAATTCCGAACGCGAATGGGTTTATTCCGTTGCTCGCGTGCGATTCGTCGCCTCGTTGGTTCGTCGGTTTGTGCCGAGCTGTGCTAAGGGACCTATAAGCAATTTTATATGCTGAACAGATACCCTCAAAGAAAATATTTTCAGTCTCGTCTCTTTTCATATAGAGTCTGGAATACTTTGGATATTGATTGTCCCAACTTCAGTCGGCGTAATGGGACTTTGGAATGACTGTCCGTTCTTTGATTCCTTCAATCTTCCAGGCTATTCGGTTGCTTTGTCGATGTCTGTAGGTTCCGGGTGCGCTGCATTTGATTGTCTGACGTTGTCGGAATTTTAAACTTGAAGCTCCGATTCCTGACTTTCTAATCTTTAGCTGACCATGCGATTGTGAGCGTCCGCGTCTTTATTCTGCAACGCTGGTTGGTGCGCGAGGACGTACTGTTGTTGAGCTTTATCCTAATGAATATTTTTTAGAAAAATACTTGCCAGAGAAAACTGCTTCTCAACCAACATTACGCGGACACAATTTATACTCAGTAGTACCTTATTGGACGTATTTCTGTGCGCCATAATGAACTGAACCGGTCTCTGACAATGACCCAAAAAACGGCAGCATTAGGTTAAAAATCCCTCCACTCTTCCGATGATATGAGGAGAGGCAGTGATAAATGAGTGGGCTTAATCGTCGTCGTTTGAAGTCGTTTCGATGCTCGGTTCAGCTTCAATTTAGATTCCGGTTCAAAACCGGTTCGGTCCGGTTCAAGGCCGGTTTGGTTCAAGGCCGGTTCACCCTACAAAAGGGGTCTTTTTTCTTTTCTTTTCCCTCACCTAGGGCCGGCCACCTCTCTCTCCTCTTTTTTGAATTTCTCTTCCCTCGAGCATCCGTTCTCCCTCAAAACCTGATATTCATCTTAGATCTAGTCTTCCTTTTGATCTTTGACTGAGAAATCCCTCGAAACTTCCATTTTTAGAATTTCTCTCAGGCCCCTCGAGCGCGTGGTTCGAGCACTTTTCAAGATCTAATTTTTATTGGATCTTCGAGCTTTCCCTCAGGTATATCTTCCATAATTTTAGCATTTTTTTTATGCTTAATTTAATTTATGAACTTGTGGGATTGCATGCGAGGGTTAGGATTATGATTTGGCGCCTCGAGCTTA